TTTTTCGTCGATCTACATATTCATGGGATTAACGGTTTATGACTTTTTCGGACAGCCGTTTTGGCGCAGGCATTTGCTGCTGTCATGCAGCCTAATGAAATTAGTCACGATATGCAGTAGTAGATATGTTTCTGAAGATTCGATAAACTTAAACTCTCAGGTGTTCATGGTGATGTTCATTTTGCCGTAATTTTCTCGTGACATCGTCGGACGTGGAATCATTACCAACTTTGAAATTAATCCTCATGATGAAAGTTTCATATTCTGCTCACAAAGCATTTTCGAATCACGTTTAAGGAGATTTTGTGAGGAGCCAAATCAAGTAATTGATCCAAATGACCACCTGCCATGAAATAAATTCAATCTCGCGACCTCAGACCGCGCACTCATGTCCTGACAACGCCCAGTCAACAGAACGGAATCGGAATGAGAAATTTGCTATTTTAACATAGGCATCGTATTCTACTCACAAGGTGCTACCCAATGATGTATGATACGATGGGCGGAATCACGCAGCTGACCACTGTTCAGTTACGCAGACTTATCGCGACGACCGCATGACTGAGCGTTGACAACAACCAGCGGTCTGCGTCCAAAACCTTCGATTCCGTTAGGTTATTACCACTGTTGAGTGATCAGTTATTAAACTTAGCCAGCCCCAAAACCATAAGCATCATATTAAGGCGTCTACACGTTGGATTCTCATCGAAACTACGTCGTCATAAATCCTGAATGTCTTACAACGAACGACAATCGTAAGTGATCGCAGTACATGTTTCTACTTACCATGTCTGAAAGATGGTTATTACGCCAGAAAAGCGGCGTGCAGCAGGGGAAGAACCGTTCGCTAAGGTTGACACCGCCAAACTTCCAGCGAAATGCCGGAAGTTTAATTTAACGTTTTCGTATATTAGTGTGCAACTCGTTTAGTTTAAACTGTGTGATTTAAAGTTCATGTTATTCGTGCTTAATTATTTTACGATACGACAACAATTGTTAAATAAATCGCAAATTTATTCGTCGCCCTACGAAACTCTTTTCTTATTGCCAGTAGATAAGCATGATGAAGCTGTGAGGGACAGCTTCTGTCATTGAATGTCCCGTCTCTTGTGCCAATGCAAAGTATCAATAAACAACGCTTTTCATTGAGCTTTCAGTTACTGCACCTAGATGAGCATTTAGCAAAATAGTTCGTTTTAAGAGAGTATGATGAGTATGATGCTTTTTTCGTATTGGGCTACAGTAGATGAGGACAGGAAGTACACGATCAAAGACAAAGAATCGAACCTCAATGATCTAGAAAGACTGAATAATCCACTCCGGTCGTTTGAGAATTTCGAATCAGCACATTTATTTCAGCTGAGGTAGCTGCTGAGGATAATTTTTAAACACTGCGTAGTACTAACGCCAGAATCAGCTCGTTCTGTGTTATTGTTAGAGCTTCACCGGCACTAATCGTTACGTAACATTGCATTTTTGGTAATCATCAGACACTTCTAAAATCAGACCGTGACGTCATCCAATTTTCTATGCCATTCGTGCAAATCGGAAGAGTCAGATTCACAAACAATGGCAAATATGCGAACTATATCATCGGCATATTTCATACAGCTGACTATGTTGGTAGGCTGAAGGCCACCCAAGTTAAGGAATGAAAGTGCTGAGCGTTACAGAATCCTTTTGAGTTGGATTTCGACTGTTGAAATCTCTATTATATGAATACTGGCGAGATACATGCATAAAACACCACTTTTCATTGCTTATAGTGGAAGCTAGCGCTCACCCGGTTGGTTTTGCAGAATCGGTCACCTTCCTTAACATTTCTAAAGTTTCTCATGGCTACTTAACATGCAGTTGTGAAATCATAACCGCGAATTCGAGTATTGTGGTAGGCAGCATGAGCAAAAGCTTACTACTACACTTTTCCATGGATTTGTGTTATCAGTT